CCGCGGATCAATAAAAATAATTAAAAAATAGCATTAAAATAGCATTAAATTAGAGTCACTCATTCCTGTATGAACCCTGTGAGCGCTTAATTTAATATGACATATTAAAAAAATCCCACCATCATCCAGCACATGTTCAGTTTCTGCCCAAATATATATTTATATTTTTGTAGATTTTTGTAACGGGGATAAGGATAATTCAAAACTGCTTTTTTTTTATGAACTTGTTCACTACTTCCAAACTCAGCATCTCTTTTCATTCCTGTAATAAGAAGTTTCTTTTGAATGGATTTGATTAAAGTTTAAGTCCCTCGGTATAAAATAAATATTTTGATGGAGATGATAAAATCTGCTTCCTCGTTGGTGAATAACCAATAGTTTGGATCCAATCATTTAAATAAACGGTGTTAGTTTTTTTTTTTTTTTATATATATATATATAAGAATTGTGCTATAATTTCTAGTCACCGATCTGTTGCTGCTATATTTTAATTTGACGAACCGGAATTTGTCGATGTTCTTTTTCCTGTTTGGTGCGATTGCAATTGCGGATCTTGACCTTGACCTTATGCCCACAGTGTACCAATCTTCTCATGGCTACTTCCAACAGGATAATGCGCCATGTTATAAAGTAAATCATCTCAGACTCATTTCTTGAAACTTTTCCACTTAAGTAATTGTGAATTGAGCATATTGACAGACAATATTTTATTTTTTATCTTAAATGCAAATTTTTTTAAAAATAATTACTGCTCTAAATGTATTGCTCTGTCAGCTAAAGATCTGTTTTGGTCTCTATGCTTTAATTAAATAAATCAATTCAAGCTAAAATGTAAGAGTCTATACTGAGCCTGATCTCTTTGTATCAGAGATTTTCTTACCCAGAAAGATGTCACTTGGGGTAAAACCCCCCCTGCAACCCTGGTTTGCGTTTGTATAGCTCACAGCATGTTCATTTACATGTTAAAGCCTCCCCTAGAATTCCATGGGGGGGAGGCATGGGGGGAACACTGCCTAAGAAATTCCACGTCAATTTCTGACAATTTACGGGAGTTTTCGACGAAGCCTGCAAATTGCCGTAAACTGCCGCTAACCTGAAGTTCCACGACAATCTACAGTGCCGTATATTGACGAAAATCCCACTTTTCATGCAGTGTAGCTATTAGCCGTTAATAATGCAAAACTTACCATCTGCTTCAGAGTTTCCTATCAGCACTGAACTAAACGCCTATTTCAGAGTTTTAATAAGTCCGGCAGCAAAACTAGTTTATTTTTTCTTCTCAAACCGGTATAACTTGGACTGGATACTTTCACGGTGGTTCCAGATTTGTTTTTTAGGGGACATTGTGTTTTAGATTTATTTATTTGACAGGGACAGTGTACATTAATAAGCATTCCCGCAAACGCACCAGAATTAGCCTAAAGGCTATTATTCATCTGTTGTCCCTGGACAGATCTTAACATTGTCTACCTAAAAACACAACAGTAAGGAAAAAGTGACAAATATAAAAAGAAATAAAAACAGCTATAACTCTTCAAAACTTGTTTAAAAATATAGAATTAATGTTTGCTAGACTTCAGATTTAGGTTAATGAAATAGAATGAAACATTCAAATAAAAATATTTACACCATATATATATATATATATCTATATATTTTTTGTGTGAAAACAAAGCATGAGGATTGTTATTTCTGGAAGTCTCCTAAAATCCAGTGTTGGGAATTATTATAAAGGATGCTATGATGTTAAAAGAAATAGACGTTGGCATCTCAGAAAGTTAGTGAGGTCATAAGGTTCAGTGAAGTTTGCCAGTCGATTCAGAGGGTGTAACATAAATCGTATTGGTTCATGACAGATGAAGCAAAATATTTTCAATCTTTATTTCGTTTAAAGCTACAGTGTGTAATAATTACAGGCATATAAATTCAGAAATTTAATATATTATACATAACTATGTTATTTATCATCACCTATGAGCTCAGCCTTTTAACCATAACATTTGCGTTGCCTTAGAATTCGTTATTTATAATTACATAGGAGCGGGTCTCGCAGCCATGGAGGCTGACATCTTTGCGCTACGGCAGCGCAGAGGCAACAAACTAGCGATTGCGAGATCTCCCATGACGCTCGAAAATAACTACGGCAAGTTGAGAGAGATGAACTGAGACGGTACTGAACAGTAGATGGCAGTATTATGCCTGAGAAGCGTTTAGTCTGCCTGAAACCAAAGAAGAAGAAGAAGCAGGTATACTGCGCCTCGGTAACAAGAAAGGTAAACAAGGCGGCAGGCGTGAGTGACTTTGCAAACTGTTTGGCACTGTGTGGCCAAACATCAGACGAATGGAGGATCATGCCTACTCTGTATCACAACGAAAAGCGGCGGACACCGAACCCCCGTCATCTAAGAAGCGGAAACACGACGAGAATAAACGCAAGAGTGACAAGAAACGACAAAAAACACGGATCAACATTGGCACGGCATTTACACGATGGAAGTCACTGATGGAGGAAAAAGGTTTTCAAAGTGACGCTCAAGTTGCCAGTTTTCTCTTGGACAGGTAATTAATCCTATACACACAATTGTCTAATATCACTGCAGTTTTTGGAGTACAGGATGCTCAGACCTGTCTAAAACAATAACATGCTGCGTGATGATGCTGTTACTCTCCAGTATACTTATTCAGCAACGTCCCTGACGTTTCACAGGTAATGATTCAGTAATTTTCTGTAAAATAATTTTCTGGATATATACCTCGGTTACTTCTCTCCGGCTCCTTTGGAGATCTTCAAGCCTTTCCTCCTCTGCTCTCACCCCGCTGGCTCCCCTCTCTCGCCTGGCCCCAGCTGCACGCTCACCCCGGCCTCTCTGCCCTCTTCCTTTCCCTCTTCCTTGCCTTGTAACCCCCGTGCCACAAACAAGACTTGGACTCTGTAAACGGGGAATATATATTCTTCTAGCGAACACAATCTCGCTGTTAAACTAATGACTACAATTACTTCGTCTGTTTATATCACCATGCAAAGCAGCTCACCAAAACGTCACAACGACGTAGAAAAAATAACGGGTATATTTATTATCTTAAGTCTACATGAAATCTATACCCTACACAGACTAATGAAATACTATCTGTAAAATTATCTATGTAAACAAACCTCATCACTTGAGAAGGTAGGTGATGCGGACGTCGTGGAAGACATTTTGTCCCGTAACGCTCGCCGTACTGTTGGGGGGGATAAGCGGTGGGGGGGAGACGTTCATGTTGCTGCAGTCTGCAGTCTGACCGCTAGATGTCGCTGAAAATTACACACTGTAGCTTTAAGATAATGAAATCCTCAAAAAATTTGTGTGCAAAAAAAAATTATAGGATTGTGGAAAAGGGGCGGCATCACAACCTGGTTAGACAAGACTAAACACCTGCAAGGTTTCCTAAGCCTCTGGATCAAGGTTCTCCAAATGTGGTCTTTAAGATCTACTGTCCTGCAGGTTTTAGATGCAGTCAGGCTGACTGGAGTGATGTCTAGAAGGCAGACACTGGCTGCCCCACCAATAAAGCCATGTGAAAAATATTGTTAAAGTTGAGTGGAAGGAAAAAATGTGGTTGGAAAAGTTGCAGCAGTTTCATGGAGAACAGAACCAATGAAAGGAATGTCAGAGGGATCCACCAGCCAGTGATGCTTAAGGGATCCATCTCATCTGCTGGTTTGGTCCACTGAAGTCCACAATCACTGCTGCCATCTAGTGTGGAGCATTTCATTCTTTCTTCATAGAGATTCTAAATTTATGCTGCTATAGGCTTAGACTGCTGGAGGACATAGGGACCCCATTTCATCATTCTGATTCATTGTATCTCTATTCTCCCACTCTGCAGAATCTGTTAGTTCAATCTCTAACGTTCTGCTCTCTCTGCTTTTTCTCATAGTAGCTTCATCTGGTCTGTTCCTGTTTGGCTGTGACTCCATCCTGGAGAGAAATATCAGCTGTGCTGCTGCCATCAACACCTTTGTTTCTAGATGTTGGAGCTTGGCCTGTTTTCCAGTGTAGTCCTGTTTCTCTGGCTGTGACTAACTGGATGTGCTCTCTTCATCCTCTGACATGGGAGCTGGCTCGGAGCTCGTCTGCCTGGCTGTGTGTTTCCTGGACGGGGCCGCCTGTGGAGCTGGTTGACAGCTGCCTTTTGTATCTATGATTCTTTTTCTATCTCTGCTTCTGTCTCCTTGAACCCCAGTCAGCCTCAGCAGATGGCCGCTCACACTGAGCCTGGTTCTGCTGGAGGTTTCTTCCTGTTCAAAGGGAGTTTTTCCTCTCCACTGTTGCTACAAGCATGCTAAGTGGGAAAGATTGCATTCAAGTCAATGAGTTGATACAATCAGCTGGCTTTTGATAGATGGAAAACTTTGAATCAATCTGATGATCTGGTGAACTATAGAAATAAACTGAATTGAAGTGAAATTGAATTAAATGTAACTTTCCAGGAGGATTGATGAGGAAAAGGAGGAAGCAACCATGAAGACAACTTGAAGGCTGCTATTAAAGCCACAGAGCTTCCTGAACACCTCAGCAGAACCATAGGCTGGCCTCCTCCGTGCCAGACCACAGAGACGCAGTTATCATAGCAAAGGAGGCGGAGCCAACATCAAAAGCAGAATAATAAACTAAATATCAAAGGTCAAAAATATATGTTATTACTGATCTTATTAAATAGACTAATTTTATCGGGGTATCCATGATCTGTGAGCCACAACCATCAAATAAGTAAAGATTGAAATATTTCACCGAATGGGTCGAATATCCACCTTATATAGGTTGTCTTTTTTTTTTTTTTTTTAGCTGTACCTAAATGTAAATAAATAGATCAGAAAATACCAGAACAGCAACTCTCTTACTAATTTAAACAATTCTCCTTCATATTTGGTTTCTGTATATCAGAAGATAATAGAAAATAGGAGATGAGACTGTGGATTAAGATCCTCTCTCCCATCAGAGGTTAGAGTCACTAACCTGTGACATTTGCTTGGTTATCTCAGCTGCTTTGAGTGTAAGAGAAGTTTTCCAGAGAGCTGGTTTCAACTCGGGAGTTGATGACTGTCGTCAGCGATCTGGAAGAAGAGCAAAGAATAATTTGACATGGAAGAGGAGCAGAGACATAAGAGTCTTTATGAAACAAAGAATGACATAGATGGAAATGTTATATTAAAAAAACAAAAAAATATCAACCACCTATTCCATTACAACAAACATAAAATATTGCTAAAATATCATCATTTTAAGACTTACTATGATGGATATGTTTATGCAGATAACAAGCAGAAAAGGTTAACGGTGGAAAACATTAGCGAGATGCTTCTTTTTCTGCCCAAAACCGCGATCATCCTGAGACTCTATGAATAGCATCCTCGTGTTCACACAACAGCCTCTCTTACCACCACTGGATATATTTGGCAGCTTTTGTGATCAAGTAGCAGGCAGAAGAATGAACGACAGAGTTTCTATTAAAAGCACAGGCTCACCTCCCACTCCTCCTTACAGTAACTCAGGCTCAGCTACACGTTTCTACTGCTGCAAGACCAAATATGCTGCAAAACTCCTACCATTTATCATGTCGATGTTATTTCCCTAGAGTTGACAGCATCCAGCTATAAAGCATCTCTTCTAAGAGCAGTAATAAATGCAAGGCTTAAAACTTTCCGTTTTGATAAAGCTTATAGTTAAAAACAGAGTGATGGGTGCTTAGAAGCTGGGTAAGTAGAGATGTAGGTGGAGGTTGAGCTTTTACAGCCCGATCAGGTGGGGGAGAAATTTCAGTCCAGATAGACATTATTTCTTGGCTTTACAGACGGTGGCTCTATCTTTTTTTATACCTCATGCAAAATACTAAAGTTATCCTGAGCTATTTTCTGCATATGTGCTGTTATAGGCTTAGACTGCTGGAGGACATAGGGACCAATTTTCATCATTCTATCTCTATTCTCCCACTCTGCAGAATCTGTTAGTTCAATCTCTAACGTTCTGCTCTCTCTGCTTTTTCTCATAGTAGCTTCATCTGGTCTGTTCCTGTTTGGCTGTGACTCCATCCTGGAGAGAAATATCAGCTGTGCTGCTGCCATCAACACCTTTGTTTATAAATGTTGGAGCTTGGCCTGTTTTTCAGTGTAGTCCTGTTTCTCTGACTGTGACTAACTGGATGTGCTCTCTTCATCCTCTGACATGGGAGCTGGCTCGGCGCTCGTCTGCCTGGCTGTGTGTTTCCTGGACGGGGCCGCCTGTGGAGCTGGTTGACAGTTGCCTTTCTATGCTCTATGTATCTATGCTTCTTTTTCTATGTCTGCTTCTGTCTCCTTGAACCTCAGTCAGCCTCAGCAGATGGCCGCTCACACTTTGGCACGGAGGTTTCTTCCTGTTAAAGGGGAGTTTTTCGTCTCCACTGTCGCTACAAGCATGCTTGATGTGAGGGATTGCTGCAGAGTCAGTGAGTCGATGCAATCAACTGGTTTTCCTTAGAAAACTTTGAATCAATCTGACTGGATGATGATCTGGTTGTCTCTGTAAAGTGCCTTAAGATGACATGTGTTGCGTAAATTGGCGCTATAGAAATAAACTGAACTGAATTGAATTAATAAATGCAGGTAAGAGCATCACATGCTTAGACAATGTTATGTTTTGGAGAGTTCAGTGAATCCACAGCGCAGCACTGTCATTGGCATGACAGGGTGGGGAGCGGTTAGCTTTAGAGACTGATTAAGCATGATATTGGATAAGATGAGCATTCTGATGCTTAATGAGGGATACTCCAGCAGGACAAATTGACCTGAATGACGACGATGGTCTGTCAGTCACCAGGTACTCCTGAACATGCAACATGTGTCAAAACATTTAAGCTTATATTTATTTGGTTACAGAGACTTCAGCAATAAATCAAATACCCCCACAGCTCCTCCACTTTTGCCGCATTAGAATTAGGAGGAAATTATTATGTTTTTTCAGATAAAAATCTGAAAAAAATGTGTTCTACTTCTGTTTAGCCTGTCTTTCTCTGTCCTTGTTATCGTCTCCAAAGTGTTTTGGTTCATTCCTTTTTTTACTTTGGAGGTCTGGAATGTGGGACCATCTCACAAATTAATACACTTTAAACTACACCTGTAATCAGTAGCTCTGGCTGAGCGTTTATGGTTACTGTCACAATCTTACACTGGAAAAAATCTAAATCTAGATAAGTAATTTTTTCTTAAAATGAGTGCATTTGTTCTTGGATTAAGTAGGTAAAAGAGACATTTTGTCAATGGAACCAGACAATTTACATTTAAAGTAAGAAAACATAATTGCATTGTCTTATTTCAAGTGCATTTTGTCTAAATATCTTATTTTAAGACTTAAAATACTAATTCCATTGGCAAATCATCTCATTAACCCACTCAAATTAAGGTTAAATACACTTAATTTAACACATTTTTACTTATTTCTAGATCTTTTTTCCAGTGTGAGCCGGGCATACACACTGGAAAAATTTGAAATCTTTCTTAAAATAAGTGCATTTGTTCTTGGATTATAGGAGGTAAAAGAGACATTTGCCAATTGAACAAGACAATTTACACTTAAAATAAGAAAAGGCCATTGCATTGTCTTATTTAAGGTGCATATTATCTAATTATCTTATTTTAAGAGTAAAAATACTAATTTCATTGGCAAACTATCTTATTTACTTACTCAAATTAAGGGTGAATACACTTAATTTAAGACATTTTAACTTATTTCTAGATCGTTTTTGCAGTGTGTAATTTATCTACTCTAATTATGGATAAAAACTCTTAATTTAAGATATATTTTTTTTTACTTATATCTATATTGTTTTTCCAGTGCACTGTGTGATATATTCAATCGTTGCACACTGGAAGATAAGTGCATTTGGGGAGGTAAGAGACATTTTGCCAGTGGAACAAATATTTACCTACTCAAATTAAGTGTGAATACACTTAAAACCCTGAAACCAAAGGGTTTAAAAATTCTCAGCTCACGATGCATGTTCTCACACTGCAAAAAATTAAAAAAAAATTCTTAAAATAAGTGAATTTTTCTTTAATTGAGCAGGTAAGTGAGACACTTTGCCAAAAACAACTGCAGCCTGTTATTTAAAATGCATAATATCTAATTATGTTATTTTAAGGTTAAAAGCGCTCATCCAAAGGCAGAGCTGAAAGTTTTCTCACTGGTTTACCAGATGTAGAGTTGCTGGTTACGAGGTGCCACCCCATCATGAGGCACCAGATGGCAAACAGATTTGCCTGCCTTTCTCCCAGAATCTCGTGCAAGCTGACGCTCCATAATGAGCTTTGCTAACACACTCTGCAGCTGGGCTCCTCCACTGCAATAATGAACCGTCTCAAAGCTCTTACTAATAACTATGCTTTTAAAAGCTCATCATAACTACAGGGAAGACTGTATCGCCACTAATCTTACTACAAAACTTCCTGCACTGTAAATACAATCTAGACATAACTCAATACTTCACAAAATTAAGTGTATTTACCTTTAATTTGAGCAGGTTAACAGGATGATTTGCCAATGGTGGGAGTCTTTTTACTCTTAAAATAAGATATTTAGATAAAAGGTGCTTTTATTAAGACAATGCAATTGTTTTTTTCTACTTTTTAATGTAAATTATCTTGTTCCATTGACAAAGTAGCCTATCTCACTTAAATAAAAAAAAATTATTAAATTAAGTGTATTTATCCTTAATTTGAGTTGGTAAGTGAGATAGTTTGCCAACACATAAGTATTTTTACTCTTTTAATAAGACAATGCAATTGTTTTTTCTCATTTTAAATGTAAATTATCTTGTTCCATTGGCAAAGTGTTGCACTTACTTCCTCAATTCAAGAAAAATGCACTTATTTTTAGTAAAGATTACTTGTCTAGATTTCAATTTTTTGCAGTGTGTTCACTGGAAAAAAGGCCGCCATTAAACAGTTAAATGTCTCTTGCAGGACAGAGTTTTTGTCTTTTTTTTTATTTCTATTTACTTTTATGTTTGTTTGTTTGTTTTTATCCTGTTTTGTGTTTTTAATATGTGAGCAGCTGAGGAGAAGGTCTAATTATTCTCACTTCTCAGAATCTGGGTCCTAATCTCCTGCAATAAACATCTGGGGAAAACTTTCTTCTTACTCATACCTGAAACGTTTTTTTTGCCACATCGGCACAAAAACAATCATATAATTATTAATTTACAGATAGCATTAACTGGATCCTCCTTATAACGTGGAGGTAAGTAATACATTTTCATTTAGATGGATATAAGGGGCAAAACTAGCCTGAATATGTTGTACATTTTATAGGATATGAGGAAGAAATGAAGAACTTTTGGCATTTAATATATCATATTCAATTTGTGATAAAAAGGAAGACATTTATGATTAAACACTGGAAAAAATCGAAATCTAGAAAAGTCTTTTTTTCTTAAAATAAGTGCATTTGTTCTTGGATTGAGGAGGAAAGAGAAACATTTTGCCAATGGAACAAGACATTGTTCCATTACACTTCAAATAGGAAAACACAATTGCATTGTCTTATTTCAAGTGCATATTATCTAATTATCTTAATTTAGAGTAAAAATACTCATTCCATTGGCAAACTATCTCATTACCTACTCAAATTAAGGATAAATACACTTAATTTAAGAAATTTTTTACTTATTTCTACACCATTTTTCCAGTGAACAGGTCTGAAGAAAGTGTTACACTGGAAAAACAATCTAGAATTAAGTTTAAAAAATTATTAAATTAAGTGTATTTATCCTTAATTTGAGTAGGTAAGTGAGATAGTTTGCCAACAAATAAGTATTTTTACTCTTAAATTAAGATATTTGGATAACATGCACTTGAAATAGGACAAAGCAGTTGTGTTTTTCTATTTTAAGTGTAAATGATCTTGTTCCAGTGGCAAAATGTCTCTTTTACCTCCTCAATCCAAGAACAAATGCTTGATTTGATTTTTTTGCAGTGTATTACCATCTATTTCTTTAGTTCATCGAAGCGCTGTGAGAACGGAGCAGAAACATTCCTAGAAGAACTCTGGACGCCATCTGAGTCGAGGAGCTTTTTTTTTT